CAACTTCCTGATAACCCAGTGAGGAAATGTTAATGGTTCTAAATACACATACAATATATGAATAATTACATTGTATTTAACAGTACAAGAGCTCTTATGACAAGTTTGACATCTCTTGTGATTTTGGTATCTCCACATAAAAATGTTTTTTGTCACTGGTAATGATGCACCCACCACTTTTGTTCCTGTCTCCCCATCAAAAGACCCTCAAGCTGTCCTTTAACATACACTTAAGTCATTTGAGTTAAACCTAAAAAGACGCTGTACATCCTGAACAGTAAAATTGCCCCTAAATCCATCTCACGGAATATGAGAAAGCTCCTACGAAAGCTACAAGTGTTACAGTGGAAATGAGAAAACCTCTTACTCTTAAGTTCTTCAATAACTTAATATAGGCAGGCCACAGGCAAAGGATCCTAAAAGTGAGGGGAAGAAAAAATAAATTACAACTTTCTACAAAGCTTTCCTCCATTGTGGAGGCATTTTCACTAAGTCACAGCAGCATCACCTTGCTCTGCAAAGCCCCTTCCCTCACCCCAGTGTAAAGTCTGACAGCAAACTGCACATTCCTTTGGCCTCAGCAAGACAGAGGGAATGGGAGGAAACCCAGACACCACTCCACAAAACCAGTTTAGGCATAAATCATTTGCGCTAGCCAGGGAACAGCATGTAACAGAAAGAACAAGATGACCTTTTCCAAAGGGCTCACCATCTATGTGAAAGCAAAACACTGTACAGGGAAACTGTTGAGAGAACAGTTTGAAGTCAAAATGCAGTGTACATCTTTGCTACCATCCAGCAGAAACTGTCCTCACAACCCTACTCTTGTAAAGCAGCTGGAAGTAGTAGTTAGCTGCACCATTGGACGCCCCCTGAAGATTTCAAGGGTTTCAGCAACACCTATACTGAGAACGTTAATATCAACGCACAAATATTTATAAGGGTGTTTTAAACTTGATAACTACAAGTAATTCAGTGTGAAGATGATGCCTGCACACAAGCTCCCAGCAGCAACCCAGCCACAGGAGTGTGAATTCATGCAAGTAATAATACACTTAAACCAGCCGACTGCAGCGATGTTAATAACGCAGCAGAACATCTGCTTATACACTAGACTTAAGTATTAGCAGTCATTCTTCCAAAACCTTCCCCACACCAGGGTAGCTTTTGGGAGGCTTTTTACTATAACAGGAAATATAAAAACTGTAACAATTAAATCAAGAACTGCTGAAAAGGGGAAGGAAAAAAAAATATCGGGAAATACAAAAACTGTAACAATTAAATCAAGATCTGCTGAAAAGGGGAAGAAAAAAAAAATCGGGAAATGGGAGAAATATGGCAAAAAAATCCGGAGAAAAAAAAAAAGCAGCAAAAAAGGAACCTTTTTCCTGAAGCCGAACACTTCAATGTACTCCCCTTCACAGCCTCTGAAAAGGGCTCCTGCCTCACCCTACTGAGACTCCAGGCTATATACTACTTGCTTACTCCACGGGTCTTTTTTGCTCTCTTCCCGTGCACAAACCTCTTATTTTTAGTGTGCCAGGCCCGCTCACGGCTCTGTTAACGCCCCAGCGCCCACAGAAATGACAGCGTACCACAGGCAAGTGTAACACAGCCTTGTACTTTAGCAGACATGTCCTTTATTTCACGGTCCTGCCCTAACAGCAGCCACGGGGGCTCACCCCCACCAGACCCGCAGCACCTCCTCCGCCCGGTTCCTCCCCTCACAACGTCCGCTCACTCCTCAGCTCCAAAGCTCAGACCGCAGCCCCAGCCCCAGCCCCGTCCCGGCGGCGGGGCGGCAGCGCTGACGCCTCACCTCCGCCCGGGAAGCCCCGTGAGGCCGAACGGCCAGAGTCACGGCGCGACCCGCCACCATCTCATCCTCCCCCTCCAGCCGTGAGGAGCCAGCACCGCCCCGGTCATTGCAGCCCCCCCCCAGCAGCCGCCGGCCCGAGCGTCCCCTCTGTTTCCCATGTGCCCGCCCGCGCGGGGGCGGACGGGAGTTAAGCGCGCACTCGGTCAACGGCCGTCGGTGGGAGAAACCACTGCGCGGGGGAAAAAGAGGGAGGCTGGATAGGGGAGGGGTGAACCATTGTGAAGCGGGACGGGGGAGCCGGCGTGGGGAGGAGAGTGAGGTGGAGCTGAGGCAGCGCAGGGAAGAGCCAGAAACACAGGCTCAGGAAGGGATTAGCCTCTTGAAGAGCAGAGCCTCTGTTTCCCAGCTGTATTAAGTATTAGACGGGCAGCTGAGCAGGTTACCTGACAGCCCCCCCTTAGCTGCCATGTTCGTCTCGTGCTGAGGAAAGCACGAAAAGCTGACAGAATTGCACCACAAAACGGTCTTGTTTCCCTCACGGGGTGGCAGAGAGGCTGTGTGTGTTTTATCATAGAATCACAGACTGGTTTGGGTTGGAAGGTACCTTAAAGCTCAGTTCCAACCCCCTGCCACAGGCAGGGACACCTTCCACTGGACCAGGTTACTCCCAAGCCCCGTCCAACCTGGCCTTTTATTTCTCAATGTTTTCTCCTTCTTAACAGCAACAGGTGTTAAATGTGCTGCTGGGGACATTGCACCCTTCAGCTTACATGGTGAGCGGGTGGGTGGTTGTCCATCCCTTGTTGGCTGGTCAGCAGTGAGTTCCTCACTGTGCTTCACTCAGTCCCAACCTTTGGTGAAGGAGGTTTGCTCTGTTGGGGATCAGGAGCAAGGCAGACACCCCTACAAAATCCACCTTGCACCTATACAGCTGTACCCTGGCCTTCCAGACCAAGCTCACCACATAAAGCCATTGATGATGGCTGGTGGTGAGGAGCTGGTAGTGAGGGAGAATGAAGAATGAAGGGATAATGCAGACTGGGGCTGCCCTCTCTGACTTCTGCCACATCCTTTCTCTGAAGTGATCGAGTGCAAATCTGTAACCTGCAGCTGTTAGCAACAGAAAAACCTTTCAAATATGCTAAGAAGGCAAACGTGTGTTTAAAAATGTGTTAAGAATGCACCAGAAGAGATTCAGGACTTCCCCAGACAGAATAAACATTGTGTTTATTCAGGCTGTACGCATACCAGTACAATACAACTGTTCTGAGGAGACTCTGCACAATGGGAGACAGAGGAAAAGCTGCTCCTGGCAAAGCAGCATCAACGCAAGCTGCACAGTCTTGCCTTTGTCACAGTCCAAGGATCCAGAAAGCACAAAGCACTGCACTGCCATTTATTTTTCCAGCAGAAAGACTTCGTTAACAATCTTCAACCTGACAAAGGGGTGATAAACAGTGTGAGACCTGTTTCCTGTCAGTAAGCTACCTCAAAAAGTGTTGTGTGGTGTGTCTTCACACAAGGTAGAGTCTCTTTCAGGTCACTAACAAATTACTGATACAATAAACTTTTAATGCAGTATTTCACAGATTCATTTTACAGCAAGCATGTTTTTAACCAATACAAGCATTTTTCAGGGACAAGCTCCCTTTACAGTGACACTGGAACAGTGGCAGAATGTGCTTCAGATGTTTTTTGTTACAAATGCACATGCAAGAGGGGCTTTTTTTTGTCAGAATGGGGTCCTCCCTCCTGCTAAGCTCTCATCATGCCCTTGCACACACTCACCCTTGGTAACAGGTCTGTTGAAATACAAAAATACATAGGGCTCCTGTAAGTTGCTACAAGTTGAGGGGTTAGGAGGCACCGAGCTGGTTGGCTGTGAGGAAGCAGAGAGGAACACACGACTGCAGAAACAAGGAAAAGCGTGAAGAGGAACAAGAAGTGGGAGCCAGAAAAATGCAGCACAGAAATCCTGAGGTACTGGGCTGCTCTGAAAACCCACAGGGTATGGTGGATGGAGAATAGCACAGCTGGAGACAGCAGCAGGGAGCCGTGCTGGGTACAAGGGAAGTGGGAAGCAGCCAGAGAAGTGAATGGGGTGCATATCCTCCCTCAGGAACCCCAGGCTGAGCTGAGAGAAGGTTTGGCATTAACTCTTTCTCCAGAGACCTCATCTTAATGCTGAGGGAAGAAGCAAAGGTGAGATGGGGACAGGCTATCCCTTCCTCAGCTTTGTGGAGGGAGCAAGAAAACCCCTGCCAAAGGCTGCAAGAAAGTTGGGAGGATTTTTCTACAACATGACAGACCAAAGATGGAGATGCCAAAAAAACCAACCCTTCAATTGTTGCTGGCAACTGGTGGGCACATGCTTCTGGTAAGAGGTTATTCTGCTACGCACCAGTACACCAATAGTCACCCCAGGGCATGCACTGGTGCACTGTATTTCTGTAAAGTATCTGTCTCCTCTCCCAAACAGTTTCTTAGGTGAAGGAAGCCTGGCTTACCCAGGTCAGGGGCAGCAGAAGAGCCAGCTGGGGCTGCCTGTGCTCCCTCTGCTGGCGTTGAAGCAGGGCATGGGATCAAGAAGTTGGAGAGCTTTCTTACCAGGGAGGACTTAAAATCAAGTTCCCAAATGTGAAGGAGAAGGTATTCGTCTTCCTGAATGCAATTAGCGCACCCTATCCGCAAGTTTAGGAAGAAGCTCAATTTGCAGTGAACACTTCAGCCTGAGTATGTATCTTACATGAGGTATGAGCAGCATGCTCTTCATTAAAAAAAAAAATAATACCACAGAATGGTTATTTCTAACAGAAAAGTTCAGTGCAATGGCAAACTCCTGCTCCCACTGTCGCTTCAGTCTGAATGCACCCCACACCCTACACAGGGCAGAGTCTGACTGAGTGACCAATGGTCTGAAAATTCAGCTGGCATCCAACCCAGCGACACAGCACCCCCTGAATAAATACAGGGTACTCACAGGAAACAGTGTGCTTCCCTGCATGTGCTCTGTGGGTCTCTCCATAGTGCTTAAATTATCCTCCCATCCTCAGGTTTGGGTTCCTGCTGTTTAGTCCCAATTTCAAGAATCCTGTCACACACTCCCCACATCAAACACCACAAACAACAGCTGAAGGCAAACACACCTTCCCAAATGTATCACACAAAATACATTCTCAGGAAGGCAAATGCTGGTTCCTCATTTATTTGCTAGCGGTTTTCGGCCACCACTCAGGTATACTTGCAGTGAGCTTTACTTTATCACCTCCACTATTTAGGTAGAGAGCTTCATTTACATTAGCTAACCTCAGAAGAGCTATACCGAGTTCACCTCCTCCAAAACGAAACTTGCCAGCTGACTTTCCCGATTCAGTTACAATATCAGCACCCTCTGGAATGCTGTCTGTGGGCAGAGGAGCTGGAAACTGGACTGGCAGCAGCCGCTTGCGAATGACACCCACATGGTGGGTCCTGGCTGTCAACTCCTGTCCAATGTAGCAGCCTTTGGTGAAGCTGATGCCATTCATGTAGGCCAGGTTTGATTCCAGTGGGAGGGCAACGCCAGGAGGTAGATCTTTCACACCTTCAGGAATTCCTAGGAAAAGAGTAAAACCAATAGGTAAATTTGGAAAATTCTTCAGTATTTAAGATTCCTGCGGCATGCTTCCTCCATAAGTTATAAAAGCAAGGGGCCCCATAGAAACAATGGATAAATAAAAAACTTCCAAAAACTCTGGTGCGGGCCTGAGCAAATCATTAGCCATAAACAGTTAGCAAAGATTCCTCTTGAAACGCAAGCAGAACTGCACTGGAATCTGATTTTATGAAGCATACAGAACCTCAGAAGAATAACAGTGAAAATTCAAAGCACCCAGAATGATGTAGAATCCATCCAAATGCATTAATGCTAAATTTTGCTCACTTGCACCCGCAAGGCAGATTATACAATCGTAGAATGGTTTGGGTTGGAAGGGACCTTAAAGAGCATCCAGTTCTAACCCCACTGCCTTGGGCAGGGACACTTTCCACTAGACCAGGTGGCTCCAAGCCCTGTCTAAACTGGCCTTGAACACTGCCAGGGATGGGGCAGCCACAGCTTCTCTGGGCAACCTCTGCAGGGCCTCACCACGCTCACAGGGAAGAACATCTTCCTCAGATCTCATCTGAATCTCCCCTCTCTCAGTTTAAAGCTGTGGTTTAGGCTCAGCTGGTAGCTGAACCCAGGACAAAAGCCATTCCCCCTTGTCCTATTCCTACCTGCCCATGTCAAAAGCCCCTCTCCGTCTTTCTTGTCAGCCCCTTTAGGCACTGGAAGCTGCTCTAAGGTCTCCCTGGAGCCTTCTCTTCTCCAGGCTGAGCAAGCCCAGCTCTCTCAGCCTGTCTCTGTAGCAGAGGTGCTTCAGCCCTCAGAGCACCTCCATGGCCTCCTCTGGACCTGCTCCAACAGCTTCCAGTGCTGCAGCACACACTGCCGGGTCATGGTGACCTTCTTGTCACCCAACACCAAGTCCTGCTCCTCAGGGCTGCTCTCAGTCCAGTCTTCCCTAGCCTGTATTTGTGCTTGGGATTGCCCTGACCCATGTGCAGAACCTTGCATTTGGCCTGGTGAATTTCATGAGATTTGCACAGGCCCACCTCTCAAGCCTGCCAAGATCGCTCTTTCAATGTCAATTAAATGTCAGTCCCTCTGTTAATATCAGTAAGAGTTCTTTTCTTCAGAAGAACATAAATTAGACAACTGTTTTTCTTCAAGCTCGAATGTCAAATGTCTGTATAACTAGCCTTTTTTGACCAATGACACAAAGAAATTATTTTTTTTTTTAACCAGGGCTGGACAGAGCCTTTTGCAGCAGTGCAGCAAGACGAGCACTGTCATTTCAGGAGGCAGCACAAAGGCTAGCCCAGTTTGACCCATTAACAGCTTGCTTTTCCCAACCAGATGGATTCGGGTTTAGCAGAGGATCATCATCTTTCAGTCTGCCTATTGACTTATTATCCAGTCAATTTATTATCTTATTTGCCACTATCTGCATGTACAGTCAATAGGAGCACTGCGCAGGCACGGGGGCTTCCAGAACTGAGCTCCCTCTCAAATCAAGCATACATCCCTCCACCTCCGAGTTAATTCTGTGCAACCATTCATACATTTGTAAGAAAATAAGTTAGTGTTTGCTTCTCCTTCCTTAGCAACAAGGAAAACATAGAAACTGTCCCAAAATAATCAAAATTACTCAAGCCACACAAGTTTTCCTCTAAGAAAATGAATGATCCTGGTTTTCTCTTGCTGTTAGCATTCCTGACCTGCCACCCTAGGAAACTGTACCCAGATTCTGCCACCAGACAGAATTATAACTACCAAATCACTTTTTTTCCCTCAAAGTAGCAAATAATACCTGTGCTTACTAACAAGTTAACACATATCGACCAGTGCAGCTTTTATAATTTATTCCTCTGTCTTAGATCAGCATCTGGACTCTCATAATATGAAACTGTAATAATACATGGAAAAAAAAAAAAAATCCCCAAATCCAGTGCAAAATAGATCTTGGCTTTACCTTGTTTATACCTGTGCCTGTGGTAATCCTGAATGTTTCCAACATGACTCCCAGGGATAATCTCTGACAGATTTACTCCTTTCTTTGTGATAACTCTCCAGCCCATGACTTCTGTTCTGGGGTCAGGACTTAAAATTGGAGCCTGGTCTGCACATTTTGCAAGGGAACTGGCAATGTCTCCAGCCTGCTCCCCAGGGATGACAGCCCACAAAGAGAGGTCAAGGCAAGGGGCGATGTTTACTTTCCTCCGGATCTTGTACAGTTTCAGATGTTTTTGTATGGCATCCAGGACGCCACTGTCACACTCCAGCAGGATGTGTGGCTCTTCTTCTGGACTCTCATGAAGCCTAAAAAAAGTAACACTGACAAGGTTAGAAAAACAAACCACCACAGCAGCGGAAGCCAACATGTTTATCTCAAACCTGGTGCACATCCAGAGGCCTGTGGAGTTTCACCGAAGGCTGCCAGCACACACTCAACTCCCTGTACTAAAATACCTGAACTTTTTCAGCCATCCATTCTTCTTTTTCCTAGCAAATACTGCTCTCACTTCTCCTGGGGACAGAAATGAGTCTGACCATGCAGTCTTCCCAAACACTCATGCCTATCTGTGGTGTTCCTCAGGGTGTTCAATATCTTTGTCAGGAGCAATGGACAGTGGGATCAAGCACACTCTCAGCAAGTTTCCAAAGACACAGAGCTGTGTGGTACAGGCAACATGCTGGAGAGAACGGATGTCATCCAGAGGGCCCTGGACAGGCTGGAGAGGTGGGACAGTATGAACCTCATGAAGTTCAAGCAGACCAAGTGCAAGGTCCTGCACCTGGGACGCGGTAATCCCAAACACAGATAAAGGCTGCAGGAGGCTGGACTGAGAGCAGCTCTGAGAAGAAGAACTTGGGGTGCTGGTGGATGAGAAGGTCACCATGACCTGGCAGTCTGAACTTGCAGACCAGAAATCAACCATGTCCTGGGCTGCATCCCCAGAGTGTGACCAGCAGGTCAAGGGAGGGGATTCTCCCCCTCTACTGTGCTCTGGTGAGAATTTCCCTCACACTCCTGTGTCTAGTTCTGAGGCCCCCAACATAAGAATGGCATGGAGCTGTTGGAGTGAGTCCAGAGGAGGCCACAAAGATGTTCCGAGGGCTAAAGCACCTCTGCCACAGAGACAGGCTGAGAGAGCTGGGCTTGTTCAGCCTGGAGAAGAGAAGGCTCTGGGGACACCTTAGAGAAGCTCCCAGCACCTAAAGGGGCTGACAAGAAAACTGAGGAGGGGCTTTTGACATGGGCAGGTAGGGACAGGACAAGGGTGAATGGCTTTAAACGGACAGAGGGGAGATCTTAGGAAGGTCTGAGAAAGACCTTCCTGTGAGGGTGGTGAGGCCCTGGCACAGGTTACCCAGAGAAGCTGTGGCTGCCCCATCCCTGCAGTGTTCAAAGCCAAGTTAGGTGGGGCTTGGGGCAGCCTGGTCTAGTGGAAGGTGTCCCTGCCCATGGCAGGCAGGTTGGAATGGATGAGCTTTTAAAAGACTCTTACAGTCCAAACCAGTCTGTGATTCTAAGATCTAAAGCAAGGCAACTTTCAGCAGGAGAAGCTTTGTTCAGCTGTGCTTCCCATTAGCGGTTCCTTTAACCTGACCCAACAGTTTGCATGACCCTGGTTTCCCACTAATCAACACCACACCTACAGCAGGTGACTATATGGTGTAATTACTATGTGACATGTCATGCTGCCTTGTCAGTGACTATAGCACCTGTGAGACAGTACAAACTGCTCATTTCAGGTACGTCCCAGACATACCCTCAGATGCTATGCCCAGGGCTTCCCCTGAGGGCTGCCTTATCAATACTGAAATCATTACACTTTTCTGCGCAGGTAACGCACCGAGACCTCTGCTAGTGATTAAAAATACAAGGCGCAAAGGCTTTTTTCGCGCACTAAAGGTAAGCGAGAAACTCTATAGAGGCCGCTGTGTTCCAGTGAGCACGGAGAAGCGCACGGCGTGGCACGTTTCCATATTAACAGTACGCACCGCCCCCGAGCCCCGCCGCGCGCGGCACGGCCGGCGCGGCGGGGGGGCCATCGAAGGGGTGTCGCCCCCGCCCCGCACGTTCCCGCCCCTCCGCGCTTTTGGGGGGTTGGTACTGGGCAACCCCAGCTCTGGGTGCCCTCCCGCTGGGCGGGGTGGCTGCAGCACATTCGGGTGCCCCTGCCAGGCAGGGGAGCGCTGCCCCCAGCCATGGTGCGGCTTAAACAGCGCCCAAGTCCCGCGGTTCGTTGTGTGAGCCCTGGGGGTCTGCTCAGGCCACCTCTCCCCAGCTCTGCGAATTCCTGCCCACGTAGTCAGACCTTCCCCGCTGAGCCCTTAATACCCTGGAAACCGCGGGCAGGTAGAGTAGTACCTGTGCTCCCCCAGTGAAGTTTCGGCTAACAGGCTGGAAAACGCACCAAAGGTTTCTAGTTTCCACTCCAATGATTGTTTCTGCTCTTGTAAGACCCATTAGCTGCCCCATCCTTTTTGCGAGGGCAGGTCGTGGTAGGACAAAGGGGAATGGCTTGAAACTGAAAGAGGGGAGATTTAGATTAGATACTAGGATGAAATTCTTCCCTCTGCGGTGGTGAGGCCTTGGCCAAGGTTGCCCAGAGAAGCTGTGGCTGCCCCATCTCTGGCAGTGGTCAAGGCCAGGTTGGATGGGGCTTGGAGCAAGCTGGTCTAGTGGAAGGTGTCCCTGTCTATGGCAGAGGGGTTGAAACTAGGTGAGTTTTAAGGTTCCTTGAAGCACAAACCATTCTATGGTTCTATTTCCCTCTTTTAACACTCTTGGGAAAACTGTCAGTAGCTCTGTTTTACAATAAACAATAAGTGTTTGGCAGTGGAAATATCTACTAAGCAGCACTGCACACAAATAAAATCCCCATGTTATTAGTGTGAGGCTGAAGTTGCTGTTCGCTTGCCCCTTGAACATTTGTTAACCCTATGAGAAATGGGGTCTGAAGGGCCTTGGTAGCCCCAGGTTTGGCTGCAGCTCCTTATGCTGGAATTCATCCCACAGTTCAAGAAATGGCCATGAGTCATGTCTGTCATTTGTAATTGCTTTTCTCCAGTTGCCGCAATTTGCTTTAAGGCCATTCTGCTCGTTGCTGCTGTCAACACCAGCACATGTGCAGCTCTATAGGGAGGGGGCACAGCTGACCCAATATGAACCTTGTGAAAGGAACCATCGGTGTTCACTGGAACAGGCAGAGCTGGTGCCCGCCACTGGTGAAACCCCACGGAAGCTAAAACCCTGGGTGAAGCTGCTTGGTGTTTTGGGAGCTGCAGATGTGACAGCAGCAGAGCATGATCAGCCAGTTCACCCCTGGGCAGGACCAGGCTTTCCCTGTGTGCCCCAGCAGTGATAACCTTATCACATACCCCTACGCATGCAGGGACAGATCTGCTCCCAGTGGTGACAGGCAGTGTGGCCCCAAGTTCAGCACTGGCCCTGCTCAAAGGCAACACTTGTCAGGCAGCTGCACAGGCAGAGCAGGTGGAGAAATAAAGACAGGCAGTGGATGCGATTCGAGGTGACCTTGGCATGTGAACATGCTCTGCCCGGCTGCTAGCAAATGCTGTGAGTGAAAAACAGGGCTGAAGAAACCTGCCTGCCTTTAAACCAGGGCTGAAGATGCAGAGAGCTGATGCCCATTGTGGTGTTTTTCACTCCCTGGATGTGGGAATGTGCCAAGAGTGGGGGCTGCGTGTGTTTTGCTTTTCAGAATTCCAGGAAAAGGGGGAAAGTCAGGACTCTGGAAGCACAGCTGGGCTGAGGCACTATGGTCCTGCACCTGGATCCAGCTTTGGCTCTTCCTTACCTGGTGCCACATCCCACCAAGAGGTGGGGACAGGCAGTGGCCATCCCACAGTCAGCCCTTTGTCATCTCAATGCATGCTCATGCTGACTTTTAACCATCACGCATGTTGTATCAGACCCCACACAGCATATCTGGGAGAATGACAATGGAAAGTAAAGTGAAAATGGGAAGGAAACAGGAAGCCAGTTTGAGCCTTTATATGGTTTTCTACTTTCTACAGCTTTTACACACCTATTTCTGGGTTTTCTTTTAGCACAGAGTTATGGTGCCAGTAAAGTAGTGTTTAAATGCTTCACTGGTCAGAAACTGCAGCTCCACCAGTTTAGTGTATTAAATTAGCTAAGGGAATGATTTAAGAAAAGCCATAGCATGGTCAAGACCTGCAACACTGAATGTCTAGGGGGTGTTGTGCCAACCCTCACTCTGTGTCTATCATAACTAAAAGCAGAAGACCTGAAACCTAGTCAGAGGGACAACATGATTCGTAGAGCTTTCCATCAGATTAATTTGGCAGACACTGGGTGATTCTTCCCTGTCCTCCACATCCATGGCTCAACACTCTTTGGATGCAGTTACAGGGACTTTAAAGCCCTCTAGTGCAGCAGGACCCATCTCCAGTGGGATCAGATCCTTTGACCTTTGCTCATGAGAACAATACTGCCCTTGAGTGATACTCTTCCACTGGACTAATATTGTGGGACTGAGTAATGTCATACCTCTTGCTGCTATCTGTGTTTGGAGCAGAGATTGCATCTGACCTGCTGTGCTTTAGGCAGCCAGCATGGTGTTACACAGACTTGTCTGTTGTGATTAAAGCTCACAGACATGGTCACAGATCCTCTCCTTCCAGCCTTCTGAAACCACAGTCTCAGCTCAGCAACTGAACAAAAAGGAAAGCCTGATAAAACGAGTCTGTCCTCTCAGTTCTTTTCTCCACATCTTATGCTTTGAAAGCAGTTGAGGAGCATCAAATGTCCTAGATGCTGAGCCAGACTGACAGAGGCAGGCAGAATTTTGTAAAGTAAATTCTCTGTGATACTCAGTTGAATACTGCCAGAGTCTTTGGTATAAAATATCTGATTTTATACCAGGAAGAAGCCCTCCCATATAGGATTTCCACACCTGAGTGGGCTGGTTTCCTTTGTAGGTGATGGAGATAAAAAGACACTTCAGGAGTCTTCATTTCACGCCAGAGCCTCTGTGTAAGCTGAATCTCATCAGCTACATAGAGGAAAGTGCTCGTTCTTGCCATGGACTCTAAGTAGTCCTGGGGACACCTAATGACAGTGGAGATCAGTCTCTCCTCCGTACCTAAGGCTCTCCACATCATGGTGAGACCATGAAATGTACAGCTCTCCCTTGTTCGATAGCTTGATGAATCATCGCCACCAGCTTCCTCATTTCTAGTGGTGTTTGTTGGAGGAGAGCTGGTGGCACAGGGTGGCAGTGTTACAAGATGCAACATCCCCGGCTAAGCCTTATCCCAAAGGGAACCTCCTCCAAAATCCCCCCTGGGAATTCTCATCCGGGCATGTGTTCGGGTCAACCAGAAACCCTTCTCACAGCTA